AAAGAGTTTTAGTTGAAGAATACAGCCATATTTATATTTTAACAGAAATCTCTTATATATTAGAACTCTGGATACAAATAGAAAGCTTGAATATTTAGATTTAGATTTAGATTTAAGAAATACCAGTAAAAAAGTATAAACAATTGATAATAATATAATTAAGTGTAATTTAGATAATAAGCATAAATTACATAGTTTATTTTCAGAAGATCCAAGTCAAAATCGTTTAGTAGACTTAATCATAAATTTATCAAAAAATTTAGAATTAGAAAATAAAAAGCAGAATAATTATTTAGAAATTATAAAAGAAAATATTACAGTTAGAGATCAAGAGATTAAAAATATAAAAGAATCTTTAGATTATATTAAAAATCAAAATTCAAGTATTTTAGAAAAACTTGTTAAATTAGAAAAAATACCATCCAAAGTAAATTTAATAGAAATAAAAAGAATTTTAAATTCTAATAAATCTAAAGAAATAGAAATAGGATCTACATCAAGTATGGAAAAAGATCTAAAAGCTTTAACAACTACATTAGAAAATTTAAGTTTTAGAGAAACAGGAAAAGAAAAGGTAACTAGGAAATTATCTAAGGAATATAAATTTTCAAGATGAATACCAATTCTTTCTTAGGAAGATCTAGAACAATAAATGAAGAAGCATCTACATCTAGAAATAGTACTTCAAGTACAAGCAGAAATATAATAGAAAAAGTTTTAAATAGACCAGTCCAATATAATCAAAATATAGAAGAAATTATAGATCCCCAACAAAATTATTTAAGATTTCAGACTAATGGATTAAGAATACTTAACCCAAAAATATTATATAATAGAGGAATTTTTGAAACAAGAACACAATTTTTCAGACATAGTACAGAAGTATCTGTTCAGTGTATAGGAAATCAAGTAAGAAAATTAAATTTAATATCAGAAGATTCTAAGAGAGAATTAAAAAAGAAAAATTTTAGATTTATGCATTTAAGATTAATAGTTATAGGAATAAAAGGATTAATGAGAAAAAATTTAGGATGTAAGGTTTTAGTTACCATATATGATGAAAGAATTAATAATATAGATAAAAGTATGATTGCTAGTACAGAAGTTGACATGAATAATAATAATGGAATAATTTATTGTAATCCAGATTTTTTATTAACTATTAAAGATTTTTCAGATAAAATTAAAATAGGAATTCAAACAAAAGGATATGAAGAGGTAGAAAGTGAAGATAATTTATTAATAAGTATAGGATTTTTAGGAAGATGTTCAAATAATTCCCAAACAAAATATAAAATTTATATAGATAAAGTAGTAAACTTAATGAGTAGTAAATGAATTAATATGGTTAAACCTAAAGAATATTCATCAAAACAATTAGCAGAATTAGAATGAGATATGGATAAATTTTTAGAAAATCAAGAAATGATTATAGCACCCCAGGAAGCATTAACTTATAAAGATATTCATGGAAGAATTAGTTTAAGATTTTTAGATTATAATCAGGTACAAAGACAGAATGATTTTGAAGAAGAAACTAATCCTGGAGAAGAACAAAATGAACCATTTCAAAATCAAGTTCATAAAGAATTAATGGATGAAGAATTTGATAGAATAATTTATCCAAAAGAATTAGGAATGAGTTTAGATAATAAAGAATTATTAGAACTAGAAGACCAAATGTATCTTAATAAGACAATTATAGAATCTGAATATTTATATTATGATCAAGAACAGAATATAAGAATAGGAATTATTAAACAAGATAACGATTCAGAAAACTCAGATTTAAGTTATACAAAAGAACTTATGGAATATTCTAATACATATAGAACTTTTAGTGATATTCCTTTTGATAAAACAATCAAACATGAGTCAATAGTTTATGGTGGAGGATTTCCCCCAAGAGGAGCTCATCCTTTATATAACAATACAGAAGAAAAATATATAGCAAGAGGAAGTGAAAGACCCTTAGAAAAGAAAATAGAGTTTCAATCAGATCATAAAGCACAAATCTTAAATATTACAGCACATGATCCACAGACATGGAATAATGTTATAGATGTATGGAAAAATACTATAATATGACATTATATTAGAAATTTTCAAGAGATGGAAGCTTTAGATATGTATAGATACTTGGAAACATTCTTAGAAGAAAGTGTAAAAACTATGTGGGAAGCATTTAAATTAGAAAAGAAAGAAGAATTTGAACAATTAATTAATATGGGAAGCAATCATTATAATTTTGTTAATAAAATACAGATATTAATAACAGGAGCAAACCCAAACTCAGGACATATGAGTATACAAAGAAAAGTTATGAGAGATTTAGAACAACTTAGTCTTTATAAATGGACTAAAGGAAGATATGTTAAGAACTTTTTAAATGAATACCATTATTTAACTTCAATATCAGGAAATACATTTAGTCAATAAATTGGTAATAAATTATTTCATAAATTACCAGGACCATTAGGATTAGAAATTACAGATAAATGGAATAATTGACCAGCGGTAAAAGAAGAACCAGAAAAACAATGGAGTATAGGACAAAGAATACAACATGTAATAAGATATTTAGAGGATAAATGTGTAGATTTACAAATTCAAAAACAGCTTAAAAAGACATACTATAAATTTTGTAAAGATATTTTTACCCCACAAACCTATGGAGCCTCTAGTTCAAAAAAAAAATAAGTATAGTAATAAAGAAAGAAAAAATAAAAGACCTTTTAAGAAAAGATATTTTCTTAGAAAATCTAATAAGAGAAAACCATATGAAAAAAGACGTGAGGAAATTTAAATCAGAAAGAACTTATAAAAATAGACTTAGTTGTTATGTCTGTAATAGTAATGAACATTTATCTAAGACCTGTCCAAAAAGAATAAATAATTATGATAAGAAGAGTACATTAATAGAATATACTAATGAAAATTTAATACAATTAGATGAATATATTTCAGATAAAGAATCTATTTATAGTATTATATCAATAGAAGATAAAAATTTAGAAGAAAATAAAGAATCTGATTATGAAATAATAGATGAAATCTCTAATATAAGATTACAAGAAGATTCAAAATCAGAAGAAGAACTGAATTTAATGAATAATATAATTATAGAATGCTTACATAATTGGCAAAAATATAAAGGAGCAAATAATATAACTTGTTATTTATGTAATTGGTACCCAGTAAGAAAACTTAGAGCTAAATGTTTAGAATGTTATAAAGAAGCATGCATAAAATGTTTAGAAGAAAAGAATCTTATTGAAAAAGAGAAAGTTAACTCAGAAATTTTAAAAGAAAGAATTGAAATATCAGAAATAAAAATTCTTAGAAAAAGAATAGAAAGTCTAGAAGAAATGCAAAAATTTATAATAAATAAAATAGAAATGTTAGAATATAATAAGGGTAAAACAATAGAAATAGAAGGACAAAGTCAAAATACAGATTTTTTTTTTTTTTTTTTGTAAAGTAGGAGCCTAGTCAATAATAGGACCAGTACTTCTATGTGTACATTGATAAGTAATATTCAAGTTCATCTCTGCATTTTTCTCCTAATCGTAAAGCAAGTGAACTCCATCAGATATCTGTTCGAAATTAACATCAATTTCAAAATAGGGAGAGTGATTTTAGATCATTCCAATAATCAAAACATGACTTTTATTTCATCTTCCTCACCATCCCAAATTCTCAGTAGATTAGACAACATAATTTCGAGATGGTTATTAGTTATTACATATCACATTGATCTATACCAAACAAAAATTCAATGTATTCAACACTGTCAATTGGATTAGTATAATATTCCAAAAAATTGGGCTTAAATTAACTGTAAAGCTTCTATATACGTGTCTGTATTGATGCATCATAGATTTCTCCAAAAGCAGGTGTATTTATTATTTCGGTTGAGGAGAGCAATGCAATAAGTTCCATCACAAGTAACTTGCCTCAAAATTATTTCCTCCAAAATGACTGCTGACAATATTAGGGTCTCATTCTTGAGGTCACTCAACCAGCCAACATGAGGCAAAAAATGCAAAGATTTAACCAAGTGAGCAACTTATATAACACATAAAATTACTTCTCCACGGATATGCTTCAGAATAAGAAGCAAGCATTAGTGTCAAGTGCAGTGAGACATCCTACTTACGATTCTTAACGTGAAAAGAAAGGAAAACTTAATAAATTTAGATAATTATTAAATAACTTCGGTTGGATAAAAAAAAAAAAGCATCATGTAATTGGGCACAATAAATCTTTAACATTGATTATATTTTGATTAAACTATGCAAACATTTCTCACTCGTGAAAAGCAAATAACAATCCAACTTAAAATTAATCAGTCTAATTAGAAACTAGTTACTAATGCTTTCAAACTACAAGAATTGACACAAATTAGCTTTTTGCATACAAAGGAAAAATTCAATATCACCTTATTTCTTGAAAGAAACAATGCAAACTAAATCAAAACAGTAACACTAACAAATGAATGTGTGTCAATTGCAATATTGTGCACGGCATTTAAATAATGTTGCAAAGCCCCACCCCACAGCCAGGAATACACATATACGTCAGCATATATATTGTAAAGTATAAGGAATCTATAAAACAAAATCAAGAATTTAAATATTTGTCACATAGCGTCTCGGGAACTAAAAGGGACTCACATAGATTAAAGACCCACAACAATGAGCATGTTGATCTAGCTTGAAATTTTATTAAAAGAAAAAAGACATTTTTCCACCCAAATTCCTACTTTTGGGGTGTTCGATTGATATTTTTCCATGGGATATATTTTCCAAACATTGGTCACGTGACCATGTTTTCTGAAAACGTTTTCTTTATAGGGAGTAGGTTTTTATTTTCTAATCAATTCACAATTCCCAAAAATTTAAACTTTTAGAAAAGTACAACATTTTCTAAATTGAATTTTGGGTGAAAAAATACATATTTTCGATGGAAAATAAAGCCAATCAAACAAACTCTTAAAGCTAGTCCAAACATGATCATTTACCCAAAAAAATAAAAAATAAAAAAAAACCAAGATTCGAATTCGAATTCGAATTCAAATTCACAAACCGCAGTACTCCGAACAAAAAAATTAAAAAATAAATAAAAATAAATAAATAAAAGAACAAATCGATATAAATATACATACGGCTGTAAACATCTCTACGTAAATACGCTAGCATAATCCATACCTGAAGGTCTTCGGGGAGGTACTCGTGCTTCATGGAGAGATCAATAGCGCGCTTGAGGCGCTGATTCCTCGCATCCACGATCTCTCTCGGGAGCCGATTCAGCGCCTCCTTAACGTCCAATTCGTACTTTGGGTCATACAAATCATCATATCGAAGCCCTTTTCAAGCATATTAACAGCAATATGTATACAGTCAAAGATCCAAACGAAAATGAACAATCAAAATAAATAGACAAATACATCTACATATATTATATAGATACCGTATCTGCGGAGGCGGCTGGAGACAGTCTTTTTGTGGATGGCGGCTAGAGGGTTCTTCTTTGGGTCGACTAGCCACCGAGAAAGCGATGATGCCATTGGTTTTTCTTTCTTTCCTTCTCTCTACCGTCGATTTGGTCAAGAGTTTTGGGGGTGTATTGTGTATGCCTATTTCAATGTCAAGTGCTTTTAAAATCGCTTAATAGCAACTCTTCTGGATCATAAACGCGATCTTAGTTTAAATTTGATCTTGTGGAATGCGAGTTAGTTGTAAGTGTAGAGTGAATAAATCGGGTGCACATTTAGACTTTTTGTAGCCCACGTAAATCTGGGCGGGCCGCTCAGGCCCAACACCACTATTTTTTCTTTTTTTCTTTTTCATTTTTATTTTTTTTTGGTATATTTTGTAATTTTGAAGTACCGGTGTAAATTAGGACGACTACTTATTAAAAGTTTTATAGTTACAAATTATTTAAACTTGTTACATTTTACAATATTATTTCACGTAACAAATTTATACTAGTTATTTTTAGTAAAATGCATTGAAAATCCGATTATCTCATTACAGTTTTTAATCATCGAAAGTTTTATTTATTTGATAAATTCTAATGAAATTAATTGAGTGAGTTATATAAATGCCACACAAACTCATCTTTCCCATGTCATGAGAGTCATTCTCATTATTGTTTATTTACTATGCATTCACGTGATGTTCATGTCGAACAACGACTTTGTCAATAGAAAAAATATACTTGATATTTCATAGCTCATCCAAACGAGAAACTACATCATATGTTGAATAAATAAAAAAGGTGTGGAGTATACAACATTAAAAAGGTGTTATTGACATAAGGGCCCAAAAAAAAATTAAATTAAATTAAATTAAATAAATAAATAATAATGTTGAATAATGTTTTGAAGGGAAATTGGAACCAATGGTCCCTAACATACGAACCCTGTGCACAAATGGTCACTAGCGTTTCATTAAAGTCCCTTTGAATTGTTTTCTATCCATTCTTGCAGTTTAAAAGTAAATTTATTTTATAAATAGACACTTATACAATTACCCATTTATACACTTAAAGGATCGTTTGTGCAAATTTCTTAATTCCTATATTTCTTTAAATGGTATCATTTCTTTGCGGCGATTATTAACATTCCTCATAAATAATTCATCATTGTTAAGAAAATCAAAACTTTTGTAATCAAATAATGTCACTTAATTATATTATGGTGTTCACTTTTTCTCAATTTGTTATGAGTTTGTTTCATCTCAATCTCTTTTTATTTATCGATTTTTAGTTTTATTTTATTTTTCCTGAAAAAAAAAAGTTTTGCATTAGATGACATGAGAGCATCCAAATCACGAAGTAGAATCAAGTTTTAATTCAATTAGCATAATATAAAAATAAAAAATTAAATCATCAAAAGCCAAATAATGTGGGGTCCAAAGCGTAGGTAAGAATGAAGCCTCAATCGTTGGCCTGAGTTTAAGCATCCTTTCGAAGGATAAGAGTGAATTGAGAGAGAGAGAGTCGGATAATGCCAAAAAACTTAAAATAAATATTGTATTAAAGTACACAATTCTCAGTGCACACGTAAAAACTATGACAACCTGTTTGTGAGTGATTTTTTCCTTCAAAAAATTGATTTTTTGACCATTATTTCACTATTTCAACCGTCATATTTGATTTCTTCTCTCACAAGTGGACCTTTATTTTCTCCTAACGGTCAAAAAATCAAGTTTTAAAATCACTCATAAACAGGCTCCGAATGAATCAACTTTCATGATATTAATGTAAAGAAGTCAAATTGATGTCTTGTTTTATAATGTGAATTTTGTTGAATTTAGTACTCATTCTCTTTAATTTCAATTATAATGAAATGTTACAAACAACAAGGCTTTACTAGAGGTACATAATTTTTGTACATAGAAATGTCCACACCCCTCACATGGGGTGGGGTCAGAGCGATGTAGATCCCACCTCATGTAAGGGGTGTGGACACCCGAATGTACAAATACACTTTTCCAAACAACAATAGAAGTGCATGAATTGTATCTAAATTTACTTATATGAGTTGTTTCTGTTCAGTTATGATACAAATTCTATTATTCTACATATTTCTTCCATATTATTTCAAATGTATAGCAATGGATATATATTGTTGGAAACTGGTTACTTTGAACCAGATCTTTGGTGCTTCTAACACTCCAAAAACTACTTCGCCATTAGATTAAAATTCCAGTGGTTTAAATGATGTTGCAGTTCCTGAAGATTTAGGTGATGATCATAGGAGCACTCCAATTAATTTGGTGACATTAGGTTCGAGCAATAAGCGACAAATAAAAAAATAGAAATCCAATTGGAAACAAATATTGCAAAAAAAATTCAAGAGGCTAATACGTAATCAACTTTTCCAGGTCAACAATCAAGCTAAAAAATTCAATCCGATTTGTATCTGGAGGTAGAATTGGTCAAAAGATGCCATTTATGTACTTCTCTGAACTCCGTGGAAATATATTCCATGAATTACATCTGGCACAAAGAGTTAAGGGTCCGTTTGATTATAAAGATAAAATTTGAATGGAAAAAAAACGAATTTCAAGAAATTGAATTATCTAAATTTTATTTTATTGAAAATTGTCAATTATTGTGTTTGATTAGTATAATTTTCAACGTGAAACATGTTGAAATAAAAGTGTCTTTTGGTGTTCGTTTGGCTTTATTTTACGTAAAAATTGTCAATTAAATAAATAGAATTTACTAGTATTGGAGATAAAATTTGTTTCCATTTGACTTTATTTTACATAAAAATTATCAATTGAAGAAATATTTTTTTACAATTAAAGATTGAATTTGTTTCAATTGTATTAAAAAAAAAGGACGTAAACAGTACCCTAGAAAACCAATTCCCACTATCAATGAAAACCAAGAAAATTCCAATTTTCAAGAAAAGCAAGAAAACCAAATTTCATGTAAAATTTTGCTATCAAACTCCACAAAATGGGTGAAAATTGGAATTTGAATTCCATTTTCCATGAAATTTGGACCTGTCAAACATGGCCTAAATGTATTTAAATACTGGAAAGACATATGATGGAGACATAGAACTATGTATCCAAGATAAAGTGAAAATATTAATAGCTAAAGATTTTCAAGATCCAACCTCAAAATTTGTAATTATTGTTTAATTCTCTTTAAAATTGTCACAGCTGAAAATGACTTAAAACAACACCATCATTAGAAGGGGTAAAATGGCATCAACACTTCCAATTACCATCGCAACAACAAAAAAAATGGCTGAAAATTAACTATTTATATTTCTTTTTCATTCTGTGTGTACACATATATGTCTCACTCTGTCTCTTTGGTTTATGAAGTTTTGACTATGACTATAACAAACAATGGGAAATTAGAAACTTTGCATAACTGCTCCTTTAAGTGCATAAATGGATAAATGTTGTCTTTTTATTATAATAGCTATATATACATATAATAGTAAGAATGTTTGGAGACTATCCAAAATGACTTTTTGCACACAAAATCAATAGGTTGAAAAAGTCGGTGCCAAGAAAAATGGTTAGGGACCATTTACATGCAAAGGTCATGTTATGGACCTTTTGTGCGAAGGAGAAACCATACATAGACAGATTAACCATCTTCGACGTCCACTATGCTGCCTGCCTATGTTCTTCAAGCCACATTTTCTAAAACTCATTTTTTTCCAAACTCATCAGTCATCAACAAGCAGTCCAAAGTAACTAAAATAATACTTGGTTATCACTACAACTGTTCCAAATGAAGATGGATAAATAGAAACTTCAAGTGATGTCAATCAGTAGTTCAATAAATATAAGGCATCAAGCCCCAAACACAAGCCATGAATAAACAAATATGAGAAGCAAAACACGTTCTCGATTTGATTCAAAATCAAAATAAGCCATACGATTCGAAGATGCAGACTATTTATATAGCATGCCAACCTCTCACTAAAATAAATTTATCTTAGGTCATGTTAAGATCATATATTCAAAGAACACTGCACACTAGGCTGAGTCTACAAAGACGAGAGAAAACATAACCTGGACTCCATTTAAGTACCTTAGTTAAGACACAAAAACCCAAATATGCTAGATGCATTTTCAGTCAAGAACCCACAACTAATGAAAATGTCAAGGAAGGGAAACTTTATATAGTCGAGACCTTTGGAACCTCCACAGGGAATTGATGAATCTCATCAATCCATGGGCTCTTCTCCTTTGCTGGATTTATGGTCCTCAAAGCTTTCCATACTGCACTATTACATTTAAACCCTGATCCAAATGCTATCTGCCACATCCTGTCTCCCCTCCTAATCCTCCCTTTGGCTTCTGAGTATGCCAATTCATACCAAAGTGAGCTGCTTGAGGTATTGCCAAATCGGTATAGAGTCATCCTTGAAGGCTCCATCTGCCAATCAGATAGTTGCAGATTTTTCTCTAATTCATCCAACACAGCTCTTCCACCTGCGTGGATGCAGAAATGCTCGAAAGCCAATTTGAAATCTGGGATGTAAGGCTTCAGCTTCATTTTAAACAGCTTCTTCCCGACCAATGTGGCTAAGAAAATCAATTGTTCGGACATAGGCAGCACAAGGGGACCCAATGTAGTGATATTTGTCTTCAAAGCATCACCAGCTACTGCCATCAATTCCTTTGACAGAGAAACTCCAACTTTCCCCTGCGAATCCTCCAGCTGAGTGACACAAGAAAAGCATTTATCATCAGAACCTTTGTGGGTTCTTACAGTATGGACCAATCGGTACTTGGATCGCCACAGATCAGATCTTTTGTTTGAAAGCAAAATAGCAGCCCCTCCCATCCGGAACAAGCAATTTGAAACAAGCATTGACCTCTCATTCCCGAAGTACCAATTTAGTGTAATATTCTCCATGCTGATTGCTAGAGCATAAGTGTTGGGATGGACCTGTAGAAGATCTTTAGCAAGATCGATGGATATCAAACCTGCACTACAACCCATCCCACCTAGATTGTAACTAATAATGTTCCCCCGGAGCTTGTAATGGTTAATAACCATGGCAGACAAAGAAGGTGTCGGATTAAACAAGCTGCAATTCACAATCAAAATCCCAATGTCCTTTGGCTTTAGAGACGTTTTAGCAAGCAGCTCATCAATGGCACCAAACATTACAGCTTCAGCTTCTTTTCTTGCTTCAGCCATACACGGATTTGGTGGTATCTTCAGTACAGCCTCAGGTAGATAAGTTGACTCACCAAGGCCCGACCTTTCAAGAATTTTCCTCTGAAACTCAAGATTTTCCTCAGTAAATGAACCGGTCAACCGCGATCTCTCCATGAAAATCTGCCTAGTGCATTTCCTATCATCATCAGGCTTATAACACGAGAAATTCACTAGATACACTGGTCGCGGGCTAGTGAGGAAATAGACTGTTGATAAAAAGACTAAGAGGGTCGAGCACACGATTACAGATATCAGATTGAATCTGAGATGGTCCCAAAGATCATTAAGGTCTTGGAGTGAAAATGTGGACAATTGGGCTGCAATAAGCACAACCACTGGGGATAAAAATAGATACATTCCATGGGTTATAAGGTAATGGTATCCAAGCTTCACATATTTCAATTTCACAGATTTTTTAAAATCGGGAAGCTTTCGTGAAGATGAGGGAGGAAGCGAGGGTGTATTTGCTTCTGATTCGCTCATTTTATTAGCAATTTCCTTCAGTTTCCTGCAGAATAGGTATTATTAGATTTCAGCAAAAATGAACTATTAGGATATTGCAATTAATTTAAGTACGTATTGAAAATTTAACTCCTGAAAAAAGATCTTGCTATTAATATAAAGGACGTACTAGATAATTGAATATAGTATTGCAACAATCAGAAAATCGAAATCTTTCTGAGATCTAAAGTTCTGAAATGAAAAGGTCTCCGCATGAAATGTTTAATTATCCACATTAGTGATGAAAAAATCAAGTATTTTTCAAACGAATATCCTCCTATTTTGCAGAGAATCGATAATCCTGATCAAATATTAAGAAAAATCCAGGAAAATCAAACTCATTTCAAGAAATAAACAAATAAATAACCAAAAAATAAAGCTAACTTCGTCAGATTTTTCATTCAATAGCCAATATTAATACTAAAAAAAATAAAGATTTCGAATTAAAAAATGGAATTTTTCATGACTGCACGGAAGAGAAAAATTAAGATAGAGAAAAAGAGGCAGATCAGAAAGCTAACCTTATTTAGATATGGCGAAGATCTTCACGGAGAAATCGAGGTCTTGACTCTTGAGAGGGGCAAATGTTCGGATTTTATAGGAATGAGTGCGGCCAGTGGCGACGAGGGGAAGACGTGAGTTGACTGTATTTCTTTGCAATATCATTTGAACAATAGGCATAAAATCAATTTTTTAATAGTTAAATAAGATGTGTGATTGTAAATTGTGAATATATAATTAAAATTAATTAGTCACTTTGAATTAAATTAAAATTTTAATTTTAGTACCTGTCTGAAGGCGATTTTGGTTCAAATTATAATCCAAAATGTTACCATTATGGGACCTTCATTTGCAGACAGCACTGATTGCACAGGTGCATAATTATCGAAATGCCATTATGTACATTAGAAGTGGGGGTCAAATTGGTAATCTTCCGCATTTTAGTCAAAAAAATTTCTGCCTCCCTGACACACCAACGATCATTTTCTTACTAAAAATTCATCCAAAATCGCTCCCAGACACGCATTTAATTTTCATTAAAAAGTGGCTAGATATTGTAAGAGCATAATTAAGAGATTTGTTAAATATAAGATGCTCTTTATTTTAAATAGATAATTATTAATATTACATTCTAAGAGAATCTTCAAATTAATATTTTAAAATAGAAAATAAGTTTAACTTTTTAAATTTGAAGAGTTGATCCTACTCTCTATAATTATATGCGCTTAAAATATTTTAATTTTTAATAGAGAAAAATAATATAATAATTTGGAACGAATCTAATGAAAAGAAAATATAGAAAAAAAAATAATAAATATTTTTTAGAATAGTAAGATTAAATATTATATATAAATAGCTTGTTGAAATATTTAAATTTTCTCTCTCTCTAAATTTATATGTACTTTCTAAATTGCAAAATATACTCTTTCAAAAATAAGAAATCTCCTGAAAATGCCGTGAATCATTCTTCCTCCGAAGATTAAAGTCAAATAAAAAAGTTAGGACGCAACTTACAACAAAGATTAACCAAAAATAACAAATACAAATAATAATAAAAAAAGATATGTAGAGAGTAACATCACAAATTCTTACTCAAAATCACGAAAATAAAAACGAAGCCTGCATTTATAAATTCAAATAAACTAAAGGTTCATTTAATTGCAAGAATGAAATTTGGACAGAAAGAAAACGAAATCCAAGTAATTAAATTGCCTTGTCAATTAAATATGTTTGATTGGAATAATTTTTCATTGAAATTTTGTATCTTTTGATGTTCATTTGATATTATTTTTTATGAAAATTGTCAATGAAAGACATATAATTTGTTACAATTGTGGATATAATTTGTTTCCATTACATAAAAAAGGGGGGGGGGGGGGGGGGGGGGGGGGGGGAATTCATTTTCCAGGTAAAATTTTGCTGCCAAACAACACAAAATGGATGAAAATTTTCATGGAGAGTGGACCACAGGCCTAAAATCAAGAAAAAGTACCCAGAATCAAAATGTAAAGTAGAATAGAATTCCTTTGTTCCCGAGTTTGAATTTTTTATTGGTGGAAAAGGGAAAGGTGAAGGAAATCAGCCTTTGATGCATACAGGCCTTTATTCTAGAATGTTTTTCTGTCTTCTCTTCACCATTTCCGTCCTATTTCTTATTCCCGTTCAAGTGGGAATATCTTTCTTCTTTTTTTTCTTTTCTTTTTTGTAAATGTCTTGATAATTAAAAAAATAAAATGGTATCACTTATTTGCTCGAAGAACAAAAATAAAAAATAAAAAATAAAAAAAATTAAGACATCAAACACACAAATAAAATAGGGAAATGCTAAGGAAACGCCCCCTAACTGAAACCCCACGATAGGTTGGGGGTCCCATTTTTTCGCACGGAACCCCCTCTATTTTCCTTAGCATTTCCCAATAAAATAACCTAGAATATATAATTTGCACTTATAAATATTTATAGTATAATAATGTAGTTTGTTCACAAGCTTGAAAAAAAGTCAAAATTACAAGACTTATATGCAAAAATAATTGTTTAGAGATATATTTATTTTAAATAAATGATGTTGCTTGTTGACTCAATTTGAAACAGAAAAATATGTATTTGTATGACAAGTGATTATTTGAAAATTGACTTTTTTTAAATATAATTAAAAGGTAGAATAAGGACAATACCCCCCCCCCCCCCCGCA